TACTTAGTGAGTGCATGAAGAAATACCCAAAGTATTGATAACAGAAGCATATCCATATTTTGAGAATTTCATTGGCTACTAGAAACGTCAATCATCGGCACAGCCGCCTGCAACTGGCTGTCAGAACAGGGGCAGGCTGCTCCTTTCAACTCAGGCTCTCATTGGCTGTTATGAGGTGTCATCAAAATGTCAGCAAAACAGCAGCCGTGAGTGTGTATGCCTTCTGTATTAAAAATAGACAAAATAATAATAATAAAATAAATATAATAATAATTGGGTTTACAAGTTTTGTATACACAGGTGTATGTTAATGTGTATTATATATATGTAAATTGTACATATAGTAGCCTATATCAAATTGTATATATATATATGATATATATATATATATATACACACATATATGAAACAAAATAGACTTAAAAAAATGTAATCATTCAATTCATTTAATTCATTACAAAAGCAAAATGTCATAATAAATGAGATAATGTCAGGCAATTGCAGAAGCACTGCAACATCAGCACATCAACATTTTCGTCAGATATTGCAGACAAAGACGCTTTTATTATCCTTAGGCAACACAGCTTTTTTTTATACTTTATTTTTCATTTTTGTTTTACAAGAAACACAGAACAAGTGAGGACTTGGGCAAGACAGTATGAATAAGATCAAATACAAGAATGTAAAAGGCACAGGTACAGTACATAATGGATGGTACATTCTAATGAAACGATATATTTACGAGTCTTTATCTTTGTATAAATCCCACTTTCTCCAATATTCTTCTCCCTTCTCCTTTTGAAGTCGCAGGACAAAAGTCATTTTTTCCATAAAGCTGATGGAATTCACAATAGGCAACACAGCTTGATTGAATATGATAATGCCATTCACTGCACGCTGTGATACAGTTTGCACCAATTCTGAGTCAAGTCATTTAAAAAAAAAAAATCTGACACCGTAGGAGTCTCCTGCTCAACAGAAATTATGTACCTAGTAATCAAAGCCATTAAAAAGAACTGCATACAGTTTTTTTTCTATGAAAAATTAGTGTTTTTTTAAGGGCTACTGGCAAAACTGCCACTTAATGTAGCCAATTAGCAAACAGAAATCCTTAATGGTCAAAATGTTGACTTATATTAAACCTGCAAACCCCAAATCTCTCTGAAAATATTGATTTATGGTAAACAGAAAATACAAGCCAAAATGTTTTGTGTGTCTTAATTAATGAAGACAATTTCTTATAAAAATAGCTGGACATTACATGCAATATTAATACATCACTTGGAAATATAAAAAAATTACTGCTGTTTTCCCTTTTCACGTTTGAATTATTAACAGTTGTAAGTCAGTCAATCAATATTTATTTGTAGAGCCCTGATTCAGAACAAATGTTATCTAATGACACTTTACAAAAAGAGCAGGTCTAGCTCCAGACATTACTCTTTGTTATATTTAAGTTGCAGCTCTCTTATACTGTATAAACAATATATCTCAATATCATAAAGGGTTAAGGATGCTGTGGTGGTATTTCAGGTTTCACATATCCAACCACGCCTTCGACTAAAGGAAGTACTGCAGGCATCCGTATATTTGTGAAGTCAAGATGGGCACAGATTGTTTCGTCTCAGTGGTCATATGCAGTCATGTTGGCATGGAAGTTGCTAACTGGTGACACTCACCAGTGTGAGAGCTGATTCCTCCTAAAAGCTTTAACCCATGGAGCTTACAATGAAAAGTTTTTATTTGTTAAAAGATGACAAACTGCTGACATAAACTGTACTTCCATCACAACACTGCAATGGAAGTTAAATAGGGGGACTTGAATATGATGAGGTAATTAGTGTGTGTGGGTGTTTAAATACGAAAGGAAGAAGCTCCCTCCTTCACTGACTCATCCAGTCAGTACCGTCATGCGTCCTGGCCCACCAATTAAAACTAATTTCTTTGTGTTTCTCTTAAAAGGTTTGAGAGCTTGTTGTCGTTTCACAGTGTCAATATGTATTACGCATAGTCCATGTTAATCATCCATAACGAAGTTTAGCTAGTTTTATTTTAGACATGTGAACAGGCAAAAGCAATACCTTATATAATATTTCTAATATACGTATCATTATATCATTCTGCTTACACACAGCAGACTGTTCCCATTCAAAGGCGGGTCTTTTCCGACATTTATTCATGTCTGTTTGGTCTCAAGTCTCTTTGACTCACAGAAATGACCGAAATACAGTAACATAATGAGAAAATCCTAAAAATACAGACTGAGGGCAGAGTGTGTGCTGATACCACACTTTCTCTGGATTATGCATGATGCCTGAGATGGAATATTTATATGAGTTGGTATGTTCTCATTGACTGTTCTGTAACATCATTGTATTGTTTAGATTTTTAAAAAAGTAGTTTTTGGTGCCTCTGACTTCTACTGTATTTTTTTTACCATGGTATAGAAACAGGTATCTTTTGTCTTTTTTACTAGTATCAAATTTAAAATTCTGGTCTCATGACAACCCCAATCCTATGCTAGTAGTTAAATTAACTTAAGTTTTACTGTGAAACACAGGTTTGTAAATCACCACAACAGTTAAATGTACATTTGATAAGGTTGGCATCATAATATCATACATAGCCAAGGTCAAAATATTAAACACATGGTGTGACAGTTTTAGAGCCCAGGTTGGTCCTGTGACATGTGGCCCATGATAATGAGGCTGAGTCTGCCCCCTCAGTCTCTCTCTCTCTCCACTCTCTCTCTCTTTCTGTCCAGTACTGTAGAGCAGCGGGTTCCCTGCATGTGGCCCCCACAGTGATGTCATTTTTCAGCTGTCACAAATCAGTGTGTTGTTTCTCTTCCTCCTCTACAAACTCCTCTCAGCCCTCGCTCATCTCAAAAGTTCAATTCAGTATGCTACACAGAATGTGTACTTTCCACTGTGGCTTAGTTTATTTGTGTTGTCAAATGTTGATACGCATGTTTTTAGTCTTAGACCTTTTATGTCGTTGGGGCAATAGTTCATATTGAAATCACACAGAAATGGTTTATTATACATTAAGGATCAACTTAGTCTTGAGATTTTGCCCGTCATCGACTGTTGTTGTTTTGTTTTTGTTCTAATTGATCCATATTCTCATAACCCGAAGGGGATTAACCATGCCATTAAACTCTTTATCTTCTGTAGATAACAATGTAATTGTGTTTGATCCATCATTTGATCTAACTCATTAGCTCTGGATTAAAGTGACCTTTTAACAATATTACACATGATGATGATGTTGATTGATTGATTGATTAAATTTATTTCAGACATATCAAATAAAATCAAACATATCAAAAATACAAAACAAATGAAAAGCAAGAAAATACAATAAACAAAAAACAATGTTCAAATTATTTCACAAGAAAAAGCAAATTACATATATTCAATTGATATGCCTGAAAAGGAGTAGGAAGAAGTATAAAACTTATTTAATCCTACCCTTTTCCACAGCTCAATAATTAATATTTATTAAATTAAATTCCTGTGTTCCTTATAATCTCTCTATATATACAATCTATCTATATACAATTTGCTATACTATATTTATGATACTGTATTTGATATTTACAATCCAAGGATTTTCCATACATATATAAAACTTGATATACTATGATTTTTTATAATTTATATATTTATACAATCCATATATCTATATATACATATCTATTTGTACAATTTGATGTACTATATTTATTAGGGCTGGGCAACGAAAAGTTTTAATCACGTTAATCGCATGAGTTCCTGTGATTAATCACGATTAATCGCATTGTTATACGCAAAATCCAATAATGAATTCAAAAGTAGTATATAGCGCACTTTACTTGTAAATGTACTTCTCAACTTAAACAATGTAATCAAAGCAAATAAATACAAAACTAAAGCTTATTGCATTCGTTGCAGTCTGGACGCAGAGTGGTGTGGGTCTCCTCTCTGCTCTCTGACTGCAGCTGGGTCTGCTGCGCGAGGCTACACTGACAGCCTGTGAGTGCTTTTGGAAGGGGGAGGGGCTCACGGCAGCACCTGGCAGTTTTGCCAGTAGCCCTTAAAAAACACTAATTTTTCATAAAAGTAAAAACTGTATGCAGTTCTTTTTAATGGCTTTGATTACTAGGTGCATAATTTCTGTTGAGCAGGAGACTCCTACGGTGTCAGATTTTTTTTTTTAAATGACTTGACTCAGAATTGGTGCAAACTGTATCACAGTGTGCAGTGAATGGCATTATCATATTCATTCAAGCTGTGTTGCCTATTGTGAATTCCATCAGCTTTATGGAAAAAATGACTTTGTCCTGCGACTTCAAAAGGAGAAGGGAGAAGAATATTGGAGAAAGTGGGATTTATACAAAGCTAAAGACTCGTAAATATATCGTTTCATTAGAATGTACCATCCATTATGTACTGTACCTGTGCCTTTTACATTCTTGTATTTGATCTTATTCATACTGTCTTGCCCAAGTCCTCACTTGTTCTGTGTTTCTTGTAAAACAAAAATGAAAAATAAAGTATAAAAAAAGTGTGTTGCCTAAGGATAATAAAAAGCGTCTTTGTATCAGTCTGCAATATCTGACGAAAATGTTGATGTGCTGATGTTACAGTGCTTCTGCAACTGCCTGAATTATCTAATTTATTATGACATTTTGCTTTTGTAATGAATTAATTGAATGATTACATTTTTTTAAGTGTATTTTGTTGTTTTCAAAAAGTAGCAACAAAATAGTTGCAGTGTCATTTTTTGTCATTTGACCGATCCATCACTAGATTTCAGCTTTAGCAATGTATGTACTCTATGGGCAATCTTATACTTTAATCTGGCCGACTTCCTGTAATTTTAGTTCAATACGGTCAGCCAAAAGCCTTATGACACAGAGAAAATGACACCACTCCTTAGTCAGCAATAAGACTTGCAGTGGAAAATTGATACTGACCACAATATCCCGGCACAGACAAAAAAAGAAGTGTACTCACAGATGAAGATTTTCTCCTTGAGCCAGCTGTGTAATGATAAGCGGGAATTCACGTCAGCAGGCTGTCAGCCTAGAAGACAAACAATGTATGGATTGAAACTGGACAAATCACATATCACAGCAACAACCATAATAAGGTCAATTTGTTGTTCCGCTGAAACTTTGATTGATAAACAACAAGAAACTCTGACATATGTAATCATGTAGGAGCAAAAATATGTCCTTTCTACAATAACAGAAAGGGAAATAAAAGGTATTCTCAGAGTTGTAGAGCAAACTTTGACTGTGTGCAAAAGCTGCTCTGTTCCCCTTTTCGCTTTAGAAATCCACTTTGCTGTGCTTCTCTTAATACCTACCTGTTATTATACACTGTTCAGATTCAAATCCAAAGAATATACACTCTCATGAATGTTTAACTGTCATACACAAATGAACACAAAGCTTTCTGTGTTCCCTATCAGCTCCCAGTATAACAACCACTCACCCAGTCTGCAAACGAGCACACAAACGGCATTCATCAGCTGGAAACATCAACATTCAGAGACAGAAAGAGCTGTATATTGACCACATCGCCAGTAAAGCCAACAAGCAGCCAGTAAGTGAGTCATCAGCATTGCAGCCAGAGCTCTTTAAACAAAAGCAGGATGCATGTGCTCTGTTGTTTCAGCACTGGCTGACAATAAAAGGACAGTGGCGACTCACATGACTGGGGCGACCACAGAAAGCTACACACTGGGTTGAAAAGGGAAGCGTGCTTCTGAAATTTAGGAGTGAAATATGATGGTGTTTGAAAACGTCAGTGAAACTTCACAGCTGTGGTAATACAGTAGGTGAGCTTATTTGATGAAAAACGTATGTGCAGCTATACACATTAATTAATTCAACAGAAGAGCAACAAGAGTGAAAATAAAATAATAATAAAAAAGTCAATGCTACAAGGGTTCATGAATGTTATCCCACAACCTCCAGCCAGACCTCCATCCATCCTCCAGACTTTCAGGTCTGTCCATGATTTAGCATATTTTAACAGATATTGATTCTGAATTTTAAGTCAGCAGCAAACTTAGAGCAGCCATACAGTATGTATCTGCTGGTCCAAGAAAGTCTTATTCCACGTCTGAAAATCCTGCTCAAGCTTGGATATGATTGTTAATGGGGAGACATGTGGTGGTTGTAACACTGTCCATGTGACCAGACAGGAATGAACAGCAGTGGTGTGACCAAAACTTCCTTACTTACTTCAGTAAAAAAGCTTCAAGGTTCTGCTGCCACAGATTATTTGACACACAACCTCAAATGCTCATGCATGCACAACATTACATTCAAGAAGGAATTATAAAAAGTGCTATCATGGTTTCATCAAGTAAACATCGCACAAAAAGGAAGGAACTTTGTGTTTGGTAGATTATTTCTTTGTTGTAACATGCTTCCTGGCAATAAATATTGCACTGCCACTGGTTGCAGAATCTTATCTCGATATCTGTCTGCATATAGATTACTTCCAATGATGACAAGTCTCGTTTTTCCAGTGAGGGAGATGCCGCCCCACACCATCACACTGCCTCCAGCGTTCTCCACATCTTCTCGAAACTTCAACCCAAAGATCCAACTGCCGTAGGCAGAATCTCTGAACATAACGTTCCTCCACATGTTCAGGTTCCATTATGAGACCAGCGATGGCATTTAGGGTTAGGGTTAAGGTTAAGGGTTAAGACATACTCAGCTCTGATGCTTATCCCACAAATGCATGCTCCTTACAAATGTGGCAGCATTTCAAATGGAAATAAACAGGCTTTCCAACAGTAGAAGATTTTTTGTCAATAAGCATTGTTACAAAGAAATAACCTACCAAACACAAATTTCCTTACCCTATGTGCAATGTTTTTAGTTTGTTTTGTAGAGTACGCTCCACCTCTATAGTTTACAAATTCTCCCAGCACTGTCAGCAGCACATTTAAGAGAGCATTACAGATGCAGAGCTCAATGAGTGGCACTAGAATAAGCCGACAATGTTAAATACATGTTTACTATTCCTATAGAAAAGGGTCTATTTTTATTCCAGTTCAAAAATATAGACTCCTCCGAATAAAGAAATGAGCATCAGTCCCAGAATACTTTCTGTCAGCCCGACAAAACGAGACCCTTGTTTTGCTCCTGGAACAGTGTTACAACAATGTAACATGCTGGGGACTCAATACAATGCCTAGTAGGCCTTCACTGTTATGGAGACTGATTGTATGTGTGCTGAAAAACAGTTGTGGCTTTAAATTAGGTTTGAAAGGACGAGCAAAAACAATCACTAATGCAGAGATGATAAATACAAAACAGATTCAATCCTTTCGAGTCACCTCTTTTACCCAGATTATAAAAAGGTTCCTCTGCAATGAAGTGTCAAAAATATATTAAGTCACAAAAGCATAAATATCTCTATAGTGAAATAAATCGCCCAACTGAATCCATTCATCCTCTGTAAGAGTCTGACCTTATTTTACTCAGACTTCATCGCCTAATGAACGCTAATTGATTGTGTAACTGCGTCTAAAACACTTTAGTGTATAGACCAAACCTATAGCCTAACTGTGTTAACGATTTTCACACAAGCTGTCCACTTAGGCTCCACAAAACCCCTTTTCACCAAGCACCTCTTAATTACCCAAAACACCACTGCCTATTCAAATAAACACCTTTCCTGTGAGGGATGGGAAACACTAGTGGGAAACGCTTTTTACCTTGTTCGACCTCGTCGTCAGGCTGCAGCAAAGTGCCCCAAACATTTGTGTAGCCTGTAGTATCCTGGGCAACACGTCATGTGTTGAGAAACATGTTGCAAAGCGGACACACAGTGACAAAGAAAGCGACTGAACAAGCAGACTGTGAAAAGAAAGAGAGATGCAGAGCACAGCCTTACGTTCAGACAATAAACCTACGTGAGAGGATTGAATCAAAAGACCTTTCTTTAGTGCTACTCTGGACATGTCTGCCGATACAATGTCCTCGAAAAAAGCTTTTGCACTGTTTAAATTACAGAAAATAAGCCACCCTATGATCAAATGTTATCTCTTGCAAACGTTTGAAGCAAATACATCATTTAAGAATGTAAACTTTAGATGGAAAATAGCTTAACTTAGGCTAAATAAAGGTGGATAAAAGGGAAGAAGATTAACTCCATTATTAGTCACTTTCCGTAAAAGTTGAACCGACAATAAAACCCGCTGGAGGTAGAGCAGGCTACAATTTGAACCGTTTCTCTGACAGGACCTTTCAAATCTTACCGGTGAGGTGTCCGCTTTCCTCGCGCGCTGTTTCTTCTTCTTCTTCTTCTTCTGTCTCTACCGCGCCAAGCACGCGCCCTATTTAACGGGCTCCATTCGCGCTCGTTCCCCTCCACGAACCTCGCGAGCGCATCGATTGGCTTTCATCCCGTCGACGCGAATCCTCCCGTTTGTCAATGACTGCCAGTCCGTACGCCCTTCCCTCTCTTTAGTGGCTTCCCGCCCCTCCCTCCCTCCCTCACAAGCCCCTTCTCCGCATCCACTTGGTATCCAGCCAGAGTGGGGGTATGGATGTGTCAGTCTCCCCCATTAAGTGAGACCACAATCCCCCAGGCTTTTTGGCATTGACTACATAATGTATTTTAGTTGATTGTCTTTTTTTTTTATAGCAGTTACGCAAAGAGGCACAGACTACTAAATTGTTACCCCTTCCAGAACAGGTTCTTATATTTATATTTTGATTAGGCTACATATTCACACACACATCAGCCATTCCCCTCAAAAGAAACACTCAGGATGCTCATTTCTAATGCTACCCCTACCTTAATTTGTATTCCAGGTTGTAAAAATGTAGGAAATCTGACAATCTTTGGTTCAGCAACAGAAAATTGATAGCCTACCTAAATTTTGAAGAATTGAAAGTAAAACAACATACAGGTATTTGATAACCTGGCTGTGTAGCTACATGTTATGTTAACACTCAGCCACTAACAGCTCACATAAAAAGGTATATTTCTTGCAAATTGTTGATGCTTTTTGTGTTAGGCTATATAATATAGGTTAACTCTAAGGGTAGGCCTATGAGCTTTGACCCAATTCCCTAACTGACAGTTACATTATGATTGACTGAACTATGCTCTGTTGCTTGATCAAAGTTATTATCCCATCAATAGAAAGATGTTGATATAGCTTAATGAAAATGTCAGGTTGATCTAAGATTAAACATATAAAACACAGCTGTCGGAAAGTGTAGCGTTTGAGCGTACCCTTTCCAGAAGAATGATTCCACCCTGACATCAAAGCAAAATGCATGGCTTCAATGAGATATGGTCAATGGGCTATATACAGTATATATAGCCATATATGGCTATGTACAACTTACCCAGTCAGTTTAATCCTGTTGTCAAAATTGTTGTGTGGCCTGGCTCAGTAGCAACTTTGTAAATCCTAGTCTTTAAAAACAACTTTGCTCATAGAACTTAAGCTAGCTTCGCTATGGCCCCCTTCACGACATAGTAACACCGTTTTTAAAATAAAACACTTTATTTGGGTGTTTCATGTGGTAGTTGGCATATATTTTAATAACTGATATTGCATAGTGCTTATCAGACTCAGGGGAGTGTTCAGACTTTTTGGACTGGGGTGGCCCAACTGGGGCATCGACTTGTGCAGGAGTGGCCTGAAGTTTGTGTTGCAAACACATGAATGACGAAAATTTGTTTACCCCTTCTGTTTGTACTCATCACACAGAGTTCTGGCTCAGTTGATAGAGTCATCGCCTCTCAACCAGAAGGTCGAGGGTTCGATCCCCAGCTGAGCAACATGTCCGACAAGTCCTTGGGCAAGACACTTAACCCTGAATTGCTCCCGCTGCTTCAGTGGCTGTATATGGATGGGATTAGTTACTTCTGATGATACTACATAGTGATCTCTACCATCAGTGTGTGAAAGGGTATGAATGTGTAGGTGTGACAGGCGGTGTAAAAAGCGCTTTGAGTAGTCGGAAGACTATAAAAGTGCTATATAAGGTCAAGTCCATTTACATCACATAGTGCAGTTTCCTAGTGGCCTTGAGTTTTGTGGTTTATTGCATCACTTTGTATGAACATGTGATTGGTTGGTTGCATTGCCTTGGTATGAGTGCTGTTTCAACATTGCATTATTAATTGTACTCTTATCTTGCTCTGTGTCCAGCTGGGATGTGTTGCACTGAGAACCAAATGCAACCTACTGGAAATCGCAGTAGCACGCAACATACTGTGTGTAGCATTGTGTAGTGTTCAAGGCCATACTCAACAGTCTTTTTAAATAATTCTGATGCCTTGGCTGTTGCCAGGCAACAGCTGTCCTGCAACAGAGATGAATGAGTGTCCCTGGGCTCTTCTTCTTCAACTTTGCCTTCATCTTTTTTTCCTCCTCAATCTTGCACAACAAATCAAGTATGGCTTTACCACTACCCATGAGAGTCACTCCCACTCCCCTTCTCACCTTTCCTAATAAATAAATCAACATATGTCTTGTCTTTGCGCTATTTTGTCTTCCTTAAATCCCTGATTTCTCAACTAATGTATCTAACTTGACACAACTGAGCATGGCCATGCAATAAACACATCATGTCTTGTACATAATATCCCTTGCAGTCCTCAAAAGGGCTTCAAACTGCAGATTTAAGCCCTGACATGCAGTGACTTCCATTCTTGAAATGCAATCACTGGAAGCAGCCAGGACCCACAGATGTCGCTCATGGAAAAAAATAACTGATTTAAACGTGTTTCTTATGATTGCACAGGAAATGTATTTGAACACAAAAGTTGAGCACACAAACAGGGGGAGGCAGCTGTAGTGCATTTAAATTCTGCCACACATGAACAGAGAATGAAATGAAACCACTAAAGTAAGGCACAGCTGCATGACAGATTTCTAGAACACCCTATTGAACCATAAAAAGATAATATTTGTTTTAATCATTCTTTTTATCATGCAGCTTGCTCACAACTTACAATGCTGTCGGTCTGAAATTCATATAAATGTTTGTGTGGCTGTAAAGAGCAAAGAAGACAGGAACAAAGATGCTTTTAACTGAAAATTATAGATTGGTAAAATCCAGATCATGTTGCATGCTGCTTTTTGAATGTAGTAAAACATTGAATTATTTAACGGCTGTTCACATCTGAATTCCTGGCAGTAAGGCTTATAGGGTTTTGCTTATTTAGGCTAGCCAGAAACACCTAAATACCAAAACGACCCCTCCTTCTTTTGAAGTCTGAATTTTGTAGGAGGCCTTTAAGAAGGTTAACTATTGTCAAGTTGTTTTTGTGTTGAGCTGAATGTAAAATATACAGGTATATATAACTACTGCAGAGAGGTTAAATAAAGTTCTCCATCCAGTCACAAAGCAAGGGCAGAGCCAGCACTTTTTTTATACATAAACTTTTAATCAATGTTGGGAAACAGAATGCAGTCAGGAGCGTATGAAATTATCTTTTAGAACGTGTTAGTGTGGGAACAGGAGTCATCACAGAGAGAAAATAACTTCCTTGTCAAACATGTCAGTTTTTGGAACACACAGTATTCACAAATTGGCTTGTGGAGCAGTCAAAGTTAGAAATGAAAGAAATTAGAAATCTTGTGATAGCTTGCATGGAAAGGACTCATCACACCATTTTTCAGAACCTCAAAAACAGTCACTTGATGAAGCTGATCATGGGGATGCAAAATTGATTTACAAATACATGTTTCAATGGCCCCTGATGACGAAACACTATTTAAAAATGACTCAAAACGGAATCATAGGGATTTGTCTATTAATCAAAATATACTCAGTGAATGACAGGCACTTCTAAGCGACTTTGCAGGTACAGTGCTCTCCTGTAGGCCTAAAAACAAATGTGTAACAAATTGACTTTAAATATAATTCACAAATTGTCATATTTTTGTCTATAGTATGAAGTTCTTTTATCTGCAGGTTTATAAAAGAATGCTGGAAATAACTTAAATAAGATCTGATGTATGGTATTGACTACAGGTAATTTTTCCAAAGCCTCCGCTTGCTTTTGAGGGTCATGTTGGTGATGGGCACAAATGAAAACCGACGTTTCAATGGTACATTTTTGCAACCTAAAAGATCTTTGGTGAGAATGTAAGCAATTGCACTTGAACAAAATAAAGTTTAACAAAAAACATTACCTCCGTACAAAAATATCTTCCCCTGATTAGAAGGTCTTAATCTACGTTGTCAGATAGCACGGATTAACATAACTTGCCCTGCTTTTTACTGTACACAGCAAACAGTGATTATTAGTAAGCTATCATTCAGTATAGCAGTTCCCCCTTAAGCAATGAGGACAGATAATGAAATAAGCATGGCAGTGTACATTACAAGAGTTACTCTTTAGCATCTTTTTATGATGTTGAATAAAGAAATAGCAGGCAGCTGCTATACATGGGGTGATGTGGGGGTTGAAAAAGGGCAAGACAAGCTAAAATACACAGGTTAAGGTGGAAAATGATGGAGTAATAGCATCAGAGGGGTATAGGCATCATTGTCTCTCTGGTCCAAGATATAAGGCACATTGACAGGGAACCTAGTGTTGTCTCCAACTTTAATATCCCCTCATTAAAAAAAATCCCTGAAAATATGTCAGGTTATTTTATTATGTGCATGAGCTTCATCCCCCACTGAGTTCAGGACACATGTGCCCTTCAGTCTATCCATTCAACTATGCACCTACCCATCCACCCATCCTTCTGTCATGTCTAAAGGCTCACTACCACTGCTCCCAGCTGAAGTCGTCCCCACCTCCAAACACAACAAAAAAGCCAAAGATTGTGAGGAAGATGACAGCGTTTCCTGTCATCACCAGACCGCAGGCACCCCACTGGATCTGTGAGAGAGAGATATTGACACTGAATTATTTTGTCCAAAACAAATGCATTGTGCTCATTTCGTTTTGCTATAGTGCTGGAAAATAGTGTCAACTGATATGGCTCAGACCACATAAGACATTTCAAATCAACTTTCAGAACATTTGACAGAAGTGGAGAGGACTCACTATGCTTTTTCGGGCCAACACAATGGGAAGCCCAAAAGATGATACCACAATGCCAGTTGTTATGAAGTAGGCCAGCTCTCTGCAGGCATTGCTGGAGGCGTCAGCGTCATCGCTGAGGCGTCTGGATATGAAGGTCGGGATGGGGCTCAATATGTAGAAAATCAGTACAAACAGCGGCCAGTATGCCCTATGGAATAAGGTTAGGAACAGTTATGACAAATGGTTGCATGAGTTTGAAGCATGTCAGATAAAAGAAAAGAGATGAAAGTTCGACAGGGAATATAATGCAAAACACACCACTTAAAGGTGCACTATGGAGTTGTGAAAGAGAACTAAACAGATTCTGTGGTATATGTTCATAACTCTTTACACAAACTGTCCTCAGAGGAAAATTTGGTCCCTGGAAAACAGTTTCAAGTTGTGTTGGTGGGTCAGCAGGAGTGTTAGGTGGGGGTTGTTTCTGTTTGTATAAATCCAATGAAGAAATCGTGAAACAGACTGGAGATTATAACGCCATTTAATCGGCCGAGGTCAGACAACTTCATCAAACAAGTACGCTTCCAAATCACTTGACTGACAAAGTGCTGATAAAGTAACAGTGTTCACAGTGCTGCTTATATTCTGTCAAAAAGGTGCAACCCACAAATTCCTTTCCATTTGGGTACATCACTATAAAACAATAAAGATGACATGACACTGATTTGTATACGTAACAGATGTAGACTCTCTGTCTAGCAAACAGTTGCTGACAACATATAGTTGGCTCCTATCCAACATAGATCTGCTACTACTTAGGTGCTTCACTCATATAAGGTTACAGCTTCAGACACCTAAAGGTAGGAGTGTTAACACGTGGTAGACAGACTTGAATAATACATTTCACGAAGTTACCAAGATTAATGAATTTCATGAAAATTCGTACTAACAAGGAGTGAAACTGTAACTCTCCTGGTAGCTTTTTAGCTCCAAACAGTGTTCCAGGGACCCATTTTTCCCTTTGAATAAAGTTTGTGTATTTAGTTCAGAAAATATTGCACAGAATTGTTTCACTTCTCCAACTTTCAAATTTCACTAACAAATCTACACAGTGCATCTTTAAAAATATATGAATAATAATAAAACATCTTCAAGGTTTACTTCATGGATTTGTCCGATGAAGTGGAGATTACCCATAGGGATAATTACTAATTTGTCTGTAAACAGTATTGTATAACTACTTTAGTGACTCTTGATTCAATCTGAAGGGTCTGGAGGAATAACGCATCCATATGAGTCGTCTGAAACAGGGCCAAGATTCACATAATTTATCATAAAGTCTGCACTACAAAAGGGAAATGTTGGGTTATAAATGAGATTGCATTTAAACAGCATTCAGCATTCGTGATTTTTCACTTACATAAGCAACTCCATATGTCTGTAATGCACTGATTATAACCCACAGCAAAGTAAAATGTAGGATATGATCTTATTTATGTCTTGTCTTTGTCTCCTAGTCAAAAACGATTTTCCCATTTGTCTCAAAGACTAAGCTGAGACATAAAAGGGTTCATCTCATCATCTCTTGCATTTCCAACAAGAAAAACAAAACCACAGCAAGCTCTCCAACTTAAAAATCAAGGTTCAGTCTACAGTCCAAGTTCTTTAAATTGTCTTACATTTGTCTCATTCAAAGATCTGAGCTTAAAGTAGAATGTGTGAGATCTCAAATTAGTCTCCATATAATCTTAACAACAGAAAACACCCAGACCTACCATATGTCTTAAATACATCTTGTAATATAAATCGTCTCACCACTTTGCTATAGTTACACTAAGAGGATTCATTTATAGGACTAAAGGGATAAATGCTTTATGTTCATGGAGTCTGTGCACGGGTTAAGATCACCAATGAGGATCATATCTTTCTTATATCAGTCTCCTTAGATGTCTTGTCTCCATTAGGAACATAAAAAATCAGACACACAAAAAGTGAAGTCAATACAAACAGAAAGAAAATACATGTAGTACCTGTTACCCTGTGAAGCCTCATTATATTAGTTTAAAGTCAGTTTAATAATACTTACTCGTACTGTTCCAGCGCACAGCCCAACAGAAGAAACGTCAGTCCAATAGCACCACTGAAGGACAAACCAACCAGTGCTGAGGGAGATAAACCTTTATGTTACATCTACGGAGAAACTTTAGTCCAAACGATAAGAGACAACAGGAAATATGTGACTATTAGTAAGCCATAATAAAACTTCTTACGATAAAGCCTGCTCGGACAGTGTTTGTGGGCTAGGTCCAAATTACGAATTAAATAACAAAAAGGCTAAAACAGCATTAAAAAAAACAACAACAACAATGAAACTATATTGCCTACACAAAATATTAAAAACACATGAGCAGTTTTGTACTTCTAGCTTTCAAAATGATCACACACACAAAATTAAACGCAAAGCTAACGACGTTTGAAAGCATTTTACGCTAAGTATTATCGTCTATGTTACTAAACAAACACTAAGCTGTCAGCATACAGACCCAAGTATTTAATGAAATACCTTTAATGCCGGCCATTGCGATAGGTGTGCAACAGTTTTCTACTTTATTAGTTTCTACTAGTAGTTCTTTGTTTATTGTTTATGTGCTCAGACTCTCTTCTTGGTAGACGAACTTCCTGCTTCCTCCATCAAGTTGTCCTTCTTTATTATCACGTGACCGTCTTAAAGCTGCAGTCACTCCGCCAGCCCGAGGTTACACTGAGCGTGCAAACCATAGACTGACTTTGTGGTGCAAACAAACCATTCACTGTGTGGTGAAAACCAGAGTCTTATAATATGTACTCTTGTGCAAACCAAACAGGAACACCACCAAGCGCTGCGGGCACTTTATCATCACCCCCATGATCAACCTGGTCATCATTATCATCGTCACTAGCAACTCATTGACAGATTTATTGAATATTATTGTCGTTTGCGGTGCACCCTTCTGTTGTTTTCATCCCTCGTGACGCTGAGCACGAGGCCCTGCATTTGTATATGCAGCCACTGTGGATTTATCAGTGATGTAATGTAAGAGGATATTATAGCCTTGAACTACTTACGTATTGACTGGATAGTTTAATTAATGTCTTTTAATTGTTTGCAAAATTATAAATCCCAAAGTTTTTCTCATGTCCTACTCATGCCTCTGAGAGCTTGAACACCTAGTCACTTGGTTGACTTTTTTCATGCAAAATACAAGATCACATGCTATTAATTACCTACCAAAGAGGATAGGCTTCAGTTCGACCAGTTTGTCATCTGTCAGACTAATTGCACGTACTGTTGTAATGTTAGGCTATGACATGGTTTGGTCATATGATATAATAAAACAGGTTTAACATCTTTCTGCATAATAAGTGCTTTAACTTTGGATACTCTAAGTGTGTTTTGCTGAATTGTAATGAGTAATTTTACACTGATGTGATGATATGAGGACCAGAATTTACTTCCTCCAACAGTATGTGTCTCATGTAACCAGTATACAGTGTTTGCAGTATTATAAACTCCATTATAAATTCAATCATTTAGTTTTAAAAAAAAAAGGTTCCATGTGTTTGCAATACAGATTCAAGAGAAGGTTTCCCTTGAGAAAATTGTAAAAATGTGCGAGTAATTTACTAAATAAGCCCCCATTTTAACAAAGGACACTTTGAAATGTCACAGCACAGAGAGTACAGGTGCACCAGGGTCCTCCCAATGTGCACATTGGCTCACTGTCTCAAAGCTGATATGACAGAGCCATGCTTCATGTATGTGGCCACTTTTCCCTTTTTTTGAAAAGTCAAATTGCAGAGCCTAGTAGCAGTAAAAAGAGCTCTGATGATGAACTAAACTTGTTGGGTCTCTCTCTTGTTGGGCTTCAGGTTCAGTTGTATATGAAGATGAAACCATCAGAAAGGCACAGTACTTCAAAGGGCATGAGTGATCACAGCGCTGGACCAGATGCAGGCTCTCGGATGCTGCGGCTGTCTGGATGGAAATAATCAAACCACCGGAGCTGGAAAAAAATCCCTTTTTGAAATTGTTGCTAGATAATGCCTTGAATGTATCCTGCAGTAAAGACCAGTTATAAGTAAAATCTAACACGAGTTAAAGGGTTATTTTGTTAATCCGTACTAAAAAATGTTGCACTACTCACCACTGCACAACTGTCTTTTTTAGCCTTGTATATATTAGTTTCTGATTATTATTATGTTTACATTAAATTTTATATTTTTTGTACATTGAGGGCACAGGTCACCAAATTCAAATTCCTTGTGTGTGTAAGCATACAAGGCCAATAAAGCTGACTCTGATTCCGAAGTTTCTGATATTATTTTATTGCTTCTAATATTGAAAGATGTTGGTGTCTACTCTTGATTGAGCCTGATCCTGAAGCCCCAACACTGAAGTGAACTTTCAGGTAGTCATTTGCTGATGAGTATTAATGTCCCTTAATGAGCCAGTGCCTCTGAGCCAAAGAACAATTTGTGGCTTCATGCAGGCAGGAAACACCCATTTCCTTTCTTTGAAAATCGCACTGGTTGCACCAGAACATGTAATTCTAGTATTTTTCTTTTCTTTTGTCCTTCAACAGGTCTTAAGTACAGCTTTCTCAAAAACCACAAAGCTTACTTCCTGAGTTTCACAGCTACATTATGTAAAACAATGTGAAGAAATAACAGTGAGATAAAATGTCTTAAGGGAAATGACAACACAGTTTCAGATCAACAGGCTGTGTTTGATAGGGCGACACTATGTCATGACTAGTTTTTTTTATTCATTTCTACAGAAGACTGAAAATGTAGAGATACATTAACATTATCTGGAAGAGTATTCTGTTTGCTGCTCTTAAAAAACACACACCACAAATGAACCAAAAGTAAAAAGCAGTTTAATGTTATACAGAGGGATCACTGAATATAGTTAAGCCTTAAATGCAACATGGTGCATGTTTTCCAGCTAAACACGGAATTTAAGCTCCTTTTTCACCAAAAAAGACTAATCTGAAAATACAAACAAAAAGGGCATTACATAAGCAAAAACAAGTAACAACAGGGAGGAATCATGTGATGACTGACGGCCCGCTGCGACCTGTCCTGTGATGGAGCTGTGAAATCTTCAGAGCGATGGTCGCCAGTGGTGCCAGCATCACCTGGCCACAACAAAGAGGACACGGTAAAGACTCAAGCACCTGGCTACCATATGCCACTGATTCATACCCTCATGAATATTTTAGTATAACTGCCATTGTTTTGAGATATTTACTTCCAGAATCTTTTAATCACCATAAATGGCATAAATGTTTATGAACGATTAATTAAGTGTTATTTTAAAATCATTAGAGCCTGATATGTCAGGTTTTTGTCTTACCTGTTTCCCACATCCAGATTATCAACAACTCATATGAGGAGAAATATAAAAACTTCTTTCAGTTTTAGATTTATTTTGGGGCTTTATTGCAGAGACAGAACAGTGGATAGAGTTAGAAATCAGGGAGAGAAAGAGTGGGAAATGACATGCGGGAAAGGAGCCACAAGTCATACAGCTACAGTATGACTAACCCTAACCCTAGTACATAGGGCGTGCACACTAGACACTTGGCTAACGGCACCCCATCTTTCATTTTTGAAAGTATTGAAACGTTTGTGGAGTCTAACTTTTTCAAATTTGTTCTGATATATCCAGATCACATATAAACTATTTCATTGATTGAAGATATGAAGCTTTGAGAACTTATTTCTGAGTTCTTACAGTGTTCAAATATTAGAAATAAGGAGAGCCATGTCAGTATAAGACGTTGTCTTTCACAAGTGTACAACTGATTTAAGCTGAAAACGTCCAATCAAGGAGGACCACTATTATTAAAAGCATCAGATTGAACTTTTATCACAGTTCAGATATGATCCTACCTGACAGTCTGAAACAAGGTTTAATCAAATCAACAGGAAATATATTTTTAAGGCTCCCTACAATACTCTCAATAAAGCTAAAGTAGTTGTGAATTTTCCTTTTTTCTTGAGGTAATAATGTTACTGTTATCATGAGAAGAAAAGCTATGCTATTATCTTGTGGTGTTGAGATCAGAGCTTTACAAAAGTAAATGCAATCACAGTTCTAAATTCTGTAACACTAAAAACGAGTCCTGAGATGTTCAGAATGTGATAGTTTACCTGTGTCTCTTCAAAGATGTGCTCCTTCTCATAGCTGTCTATGTAGACTCTAACCGTCGCCCCTTCACTCCCCGTCCCGCTGAGTCTGTAGATGATCCGAGAGCCATCAGAGAATATTATCCGCAGACCCTGCAGAGGAAGAAAGCCCAGAACAGAACATGTAAACCAGTACCTCCAGTGCTAAAGGGGTCCACATACCTGACCACTGGATACATGAATATGGCTCAGTGTTTGTGACATGTACCTGGTTCCTGGTGATGGTGCTGTCCACAGGATCTGTGTACTCGAAGTTGTCTGCTTTCTCCACCTGGTAGATTTTGTCTTCCACAGCAAATCTTTGCCGTGCAAAGGATTTATCTGCGATCAAAATCTCCAAATCCTCCATCATCTCACAGGCTGCGTCTATATCTACATTTTCATAGTCGTATCTAGACGAAAACAATATCAATTTACTGTCACAATAAGAGCTTTATTGTTGTAGCTAAGTTTGTTGGTATTTCATTTGATGAAGAGATTGAAAACAGTTCCAAAATGGACAGTCAGTAAATTTACAGGAGCTTTTCCATTAAGCAGCTGCAACACCCACCAGATGTGCAGTTCTTTGCATATCTTCTGTTTGATGATTTTTGTAAATTCTGTCATCCAGCACAGAATTATATGTGTACATTGTCTTAAAATTACAGGTTTTCCATTTTGTTATAATTATTTGAATGGACAGACAATATAATCTTTGTGGTAATGACAAACCTAGACAGATGAACAATTTAGTTAATCTTCAGAAGAGCTCTGGATGATCATATCACTGACATCATCATTTTGGGTCTTTATATTCTGCACAGTGCAAAGAATATGTAATGTTACTCAATTTCCACTAGATGTCAGCCATGTTCTACAGCTCCTTAAAACATCACTGTGTCTCCTGAATATAAGTTCCATTTATATCAACTAACCAAAGTAAGCTTTTTGTGCACCAAATGTATGCAGAAATATGTGTGTGAAATTAATAACCAAAACAGGACAAAAAAACAGTTTGAAAGGGTTGCATGATGTCCAGTCTAGTGGACACGTGTGTGTTGTTTTAAAAAAAAAAATTTGTGTCACTTTTTATGTTCTCACATGTAAAAAATGAACTTGTAAAAAAAAAAAAAAATGTTGCTAGGTTCTGAAATAATTCATTCATTCAGAGTTAATTACTACAGGAGAATAACTATAGAAAAAACAAACCAACAATACATGTATGTTCTTATCACACCTAGTAAAGTAGTTTCTTCCATATTTCATCCAGTGGTCCTTAAGAATATCCTCCACACCCTGCCTTCTGTAGGCCAGGATGGACAGCCATGCCAGCACGGCCCAAAGCCCATCCTTCTCCCGGATGTGATCTCCACCTGAGAGTAAAGGTAAAAGACAGACCTCAGAAGAACATCACAATCAAATTACAGGGTCACGTGATGATTGCTGACTAGAAGAGCTGTTTTCACAGAGATCACGAAAAGCAAAGTGCCCCTTTGAAGAACAATGTATGTTGAAACCATAGACTGTAAGGTGGAAGCAGTCAGAAAGATTCAGCCCCAGAGTACAACAACTGTTACAACTGCTAGCCAAACAAGCTCTGTATATATACGAAGGTGATGAAACTCTGTCAACGAGCTCTAATTTGTGAAGTGACTCAACACTTAAACAACATAATCAAAGGGAAGCTCTCTAAGATCTCTGAGACTTTGGCAATAATTTCCAAAATGTGTCAAAGTTGGTCATTACCAGTGTTTGGCAAGCTACTTATAAAAATGTAGCAAGCTAAGCTAATAGTTGCTTCACTTAAACTACCCACTTTGACCTGTTTATAATGTTATTGTCATTTTATTAGCTGTTGCTATCTGTAGGTTTGCATTTTCAAAAATCTTTTATTGTGACATCTGCTCTTGAAATGTGCTGTAAAGATAAACTTTGCGTATATATTTACTTAGGCTACTTGGCCAACGACTGAAAATCAACCTTGACCCCTTGACAGAGGTCATGGAAAAAAAGTTTTAATTGAACAAAAAATACATTTGGTTTAAAATACACTTCACCTTTTTTTCATACACTTACTTGTGTCTCTAGTCTGTCTACAAACCTCCCTAATTATGAGAAAAGTTCATCCTTTCCGTCATTTACCTGCTCCACTTTTCAGAAAATGTGTGTTTAAACATGCTGTTTGGAGAGTTCCCCTTTGTGACATCACAAAGGGCAGTAACCCCTCCCCAAGGTGGGTGACACTCCCACAGCTAGGTGTTTGTTCTGCCCTGTGGTTCTGTCTCTTACTGTAAAAAATTGGGCAAGGAGTGAGAAAGCCCAAGCCACCCTTGCCCTTGTCTGTAGCTGGTGTTTGCAGACTAACCTAATGATGGTTGACTGGATAGGGCTTGGTTATGTTAGCTTGTTTCGGAAATCATCATTCAGAGGCAGATATGTCAGCCACAAGTATATGTCCGGCATCTTCTACTCATCCTCAACAGTTTGATTTTGGATTGTGAAAGAGCGCTCCGTTGAGCTTCCACTTTGTTGTAGGGAGAACGTTTTGACGCTACTGCACTACTTGTTCAATAAAACAGCCTAGCTATTGTTAAGCTTCAAGCTGATTCAGGAAACAACAAAGCTACTGGGAAAATACAGTTAAACTTCTAATATTGCTTTTTTTTTAGCAATGGATACCGTATAATTTCCTATAGAGCTGCAAAGAGGAAAAATACATTAGCAAACCAATTAGAGCCTTCGCAGCAAATTATAAACTTGGATATAGATTTTAAAGCCTCTCCTTTAACATCTGTGAAATTGAAGAAATAAGCAGCGGCTCAATCATCCATGAATCAGCTTTTTGCCGAAAAAGCAGAATCTGCAGTATTTTTTGCCGAGCATAGACTATTTGAACTAGAGACTCCTTGCCAGTCTAGCCAGGGGGGCAGGGTAAGACTTTTACTAGGAACTTTACTCTTTGAGTGTCAACACACTACGCTGCTGAGCGAAATACTTTAGTGATGGGATGAGCTGCTTGCAGACACCATTAGGACCCCCCATGGTCTGTCTGGTGTCACGTTGGGAGACACTGAATACAGATATCTCGCTCTTTACTGATGATTATATACCGTAATCCAGAGTTCTATAACTTCCCATGTTCTCTCAACATCAACACAATTAACAGTGTGTCATTTATGCTGCATAACATTTAATTTATATATATATATATTTTTTTTTTTATGTCTGCTGATCTCTTAAGTTAAGCCTTAAATTGACCACCTGAACAGAAAATTGACACGAGCATCACCGTCCCCAAAATTAATCAAAGGCAGGGCGTCTGGCTTGTCATGATTAATTTTGTAGCCTGAAGTCTGGCTGAACTGACTGATAATTGATACTGGGAAAGTAAGGGAAAGGGACTTTGAGGGTTGAACTAAATGCTGAGGCTTGTCCAGATACTTTAGTTTCAGCTAGAAAAATATTTACATGTAGACTCAAGAAGAGCCAATAAAGGATATTACATAGACTGCAGTAAACACTTCAAATTCTAAACCAAATGAATCCCCAGATCCCCCACTTTGTGTGAAGTGTACAAAATAATTAGGAACTTCCTATCACTGTATAAGGCAATGTTCGTTAATATCCATATTAATATTTTATTTTTTTCCCAAAACAGTAAAACTAGATCGAGCTTTCTTTATCAACAGGACAGCTTGTTTTAACGAGTAAACGTCTGCTCCTATAGCCAGGTGATGTATTCTGCTCCTGTAGCTTCAGGAGACGCCTCCCTCAGTCAAACCTTGGTACTGAGAAACATTTAAGGTGCTTCCTGTGGAGCACCTCAGGGCTCTATTGAAGTGTATCTGCAACTTCTTTTATATGATATTATATTATGGCAACCCTCTTAGATTATCTACCCAGTGATCTTGTTGGCTTATTGCAGACAGAGTGCCCACACTTTGTCTTCACATCTTAACATTTGAAAATATAATGAATGTAAATAAGATTGTATGTGATATGATCCATATTTAGGTACACTCTTCTGTTTTGTCCCTTTGTAATTTGGCATTTGTATCTTGAGTGTGCTGTCTTGTTCTGTTTGCTTTATGTAAAACTAATAAAATATGTATTTTTGAATATTAACTGCAGACTTCTTTTACATCCACACCTTTTCAAATTAAATGAAGTATTGAGTTGCTGAGGAGATTCTGTACCTGTACCAAAGCTTTCCTCTCCACACAGAGACAGTCTGCCTGCATCCATCAGGTTCCCAAAGAACTTCCACCCAGTGGGAGTTTCATATAACTCTATTTTTGTTGCTTTTGCTACTCTGCAGGAAATAAAAGGAAAGAGTGTTCCAAGAAAGCATGGTGAACTTCTTTAGAAACAGTAAACTGAAACTTGTAAAATTGCTGGCTCATTGTTCTGTAAGTGATTATAAAAGCCAGGCTGTGCATTCTTTTTTTTTTTACCTGTCTAAGGCTGCACTTGTGGGCATGCTGCGGGCGAAGCCTCTCACCCCTGTGTGCTGGAAGTATGGGATGCAGAAGATGTTGTCAGCAATCACAGCCACAGAGTCAGGTGGGGTGACAAAGAAGCCGTGCTTACCCAGGATCATGTTACGGTCCTAGAGAGCAGACAGACAGAGGTAAGGCCTTCGGGTCTGTCACCCCTTATCCTTCAAAGTGTGAAATGTTTGTCAAGTAGGGATGACTAAGAAAACTATTTTATCTGATTTCTTTGTAGAAAAGCTAAAATAAATTAAAAAAAGAGAGACAATCATACACACCCCATCACCATCAAACGCTGCCCCAAAGTCATACTGCCCGTCCCTCATGCTGTCCATTAGTTCTGCAGCATAGGTGAGGTTAGGGTCTGGGTATTGACCCCCAAAGTCCTCCAATGGGACACAGTTTATTGCAGAGTTAGCAGGACAGCCAAGCTCCTCACATATTATTCTCCTCACATAGAGTCCCATCACTGTGGAGCAAACAGAGGAGACAAAGAAAATATTACTTTCAAGACAACGATCTCAAACAGGGAGTATCACAATGTAACACTGCTGACCCTCTATGACGCTTATCGTTTAATATCTCTTCAGTTGCACAACATGAACTAATTAAACCAACATGGCCCTCAACTTGGTACATTTAACCCAAAGGGGAATGTAAAAGTATCACAGGAAGTCTCTCCGTTTTGAAAGGATTTTATTTATTGTTGCCTTTATAATACCCTCTGCTTAAAATTTTAAAAAGTCTCAGCCTTTTTTCCCAATGTTTATGTAATTAAAACTTAACTGTCAGTCCAGTGATGTACAACTGTATAGCCGTGCCAGGACCTTTATAAAGTTCTGATGGACCTGATGTCAGGATGCATGAAAAAAAGGAGGCTAATTTGACCCCGAGAGTAACTTGTTCAGTTTCAAAAGCTGATTGGAACCAGGCTGAGAAGACAATTGTTTCCCAGGAGGCTAGTGCTAACATTACCGATCCAGCATGCATGTTTTGATATTATTAAATGACATCTGCAGAGGGTCCATTCCAGACATTTCTGTGTGGCAGGCCTGGATGCAGGAACACCTACTGTATGGTTACTTGGTTTCAGGCAAACACCAATTTTGTATATTTTTTTGTGAGTAGACCTTTAACAGTCTTTAACAGTTTTCTGACAAATGTCGACTCCATACAAAATGATCTCTTAATTTGGCAAACACCGCTTGTGTCAATTGTGGTTTAGTTCAAACAGGATCAAAACGTCATTCATCACCTGCTAGATGATTTCTCTGAGGTCCCACGGCGGTCAACCAGAAGACTTCACCTTTCTTTTTTATTCATATAGTTGGTTGGCTTAGCATGCAGATGGCACACATAGAAACTAAGCTAATAAAGCTTTGAATGAAGGTTACCAAATTCATCACCAGACCAAACACTTGGCGCAATTTCTTTTGGGACATTTTCACATTTCCAGGCACCTGAGCGTTCATTAGTATTCTGAATGTAATGCTACCTTAACCTTTTACTTAACTGAAGCACATGTCAGAGGGCAATATTGTGCTCTTGATGCTGCTACCTTTATATGTCACTAAACATGTAATATCTGTTATAAAGACCTAACCTTAGTTATAATTAGTTACAACATTAGCATTGATCTTACACACATAAAATCAGTAATGAATGTAGTTTAATAGTGTAATGTAGATTATTGGTTAATATTCTCTCACCTCCATGCATGGCATCCAGTCTTATCTTGATGTGGTTTTGACCAGACAGAAGCTCCTTCAGAGCAGAAAAGTCAAATATGTTCCTCAACAAGTTGGCGTACGATTCCACCGAGTCCACAATTTCAACTGGACAGAACAACAAATGACACCAACAATATAGTATTACCAGTCATTGAACACACATAATGAAAATGAAGTATACAGCTAAGCTGGCTGAACATTTAATAATTGAAGAATGTCAAAGATATGTCATATTTTTCATTTTGCAAAGTAAGTCTGATTTTAAAGCATTATAATAACTTCCACAGAGAGTGTTTAAAAGGCTATTGCATCCCTCCACATTTAATTTCAGTAATGGTTTACAGGCTAATGCAGGATTTCACCTGTGAAGGGTTTGAACTTGTTCTCAAGATCAAACATCTGTTTGCCCAGCGTTGTCAGATCCACTTTCAGTCCAGGGCAAATCGCAAACTCCTCAATCGTCCTGCTGATCTGAAAGATCTTGTTTGTGACTCCATCATTAGCAGGGCCTGCATGCAGAAGACAATCACATACATGCACATTTAGTAAGGCGATAATTATCAGGAATGTTTGGGACATTTATATGCGGAAAAAAAGCAGATTTCTTATATGTACTTGAACTTTGATCCAGATCGTCTGCTTGCACAAAGTTCTGTTTTTGTGCCACGTATCTGAATGACGCCTGCACACTTGTTAAATGTCTTTTGGTCTTATCTCGTAACACTATTTCTCACTTGTCTTCTGCCCCTGCATGCTTCCTCCTCTCCAGTTACCTCCATTTGCTGTATTAAACTTGATGCCAAAGTCTCCATCAGGTCCTCCTGGGTTGTGGCTGGCAGTGAGGACGATGCCTCCGATGGCTTTGTATTTCCTGATCACACAGGAGATGGCAGGTGTGGACATTATCCCATGGTGTCCAATGATGAGACGACCAACCTGAGGGAATGTCAAACAGGTGTGTGTGAGTTGGCTGGCACAATTCTGTGTCAAAATGTATCTTAGTTGGGAGGAGAGGAAAGTTAATATCATGTTTGCTGGGTCATGCGGATTCCTACAAAGTCCAGGGACTATGTGTTTGGGGCGGCAGTAGCTCAGTCTGTAGGGACTTAGGTTGGAAATCTGAGGGTCGCTGGTTCAAGTCCCAGCACGGACTAAGTCCAGTAATTGGTCTGGTAGCTGGAGAGTTGCCAGTCCACTTCCTGAGCACTGCCAAGGTGCCCTTGAGCAAGGCACAGAACCCCAAAACTGCCTTGGAGCGCTCACTGTAGGCAGCCTGTCACTCTGACATCTCTCCATTAATGCATGTCCATAGGATCCTGTTTGTGCATGTGTGTGTATTTCTGCCTATGTTTGTGTAGCATGTTCATTAAACAGAGTGTAAAACTGAATTTCCCTTTGCGGGATTGATAAAGGATAAATTATTCTTAATTATTGTTCAACGAGTGAATGACAGAAATAATACATCAACAACAGGTTTTTTTAAAGTCAGTATTTATATTGTTTATTTATAGTTTATATTTGTATTTTAAACGTTTCTACGTTTACACGCCATCCAGAAAAACATCATAGATTTCAAGCTTGTGTAATTTAACCCAACGAACACAGACAGCTCATTAAATGTGCTGGCAAATGGATGGAAAGCCAAACAGGTTGAATTTATTTAAAGACAGCAGAGTATCAAGTAGCTGCATTGGCCTGCTGTTTTTATAGCAGAATTTCTTCTCCAATTTCCTAATGTAACATTGTTCTGGTATTGTATTACATTAATCTGTCGCCTCTGACTGTTTGCATCCCTTATACCATATTTCAGCTTTATTTCCCGTTCTGGGTCGTGGGGGGGGCTGGAGCAGGTCCCAGCTGTCATTGGGAAAGAGGCAGGGTACACCCTGGAGTGTTCACCTGTCAATCACAGGGCTGATGTATAGAGACAGACAACCAGCCACACTCACATTCACACCTATGAGCAAAGTCACCAATTAACCTAACAAGCATGTCTTTGGACTGTGGGAGGAAACTGGAGTACCTGGAGGAAACCCATGCATGCACAAGGAAAACATGCACACTCCACACAGAAAGGCTACTGTCCAACAGGGATTTGAACCAGAAACCTTCTTGTTCGTGCTAACCACTGTCTAGCCCAATTTAAACATATTATTCAAGTTCGTCACAGAATCGACAAACTGTTGTCAATTGCTAATTGCAATTGCAACTGAAAATATTAAGGGGAGAAAATGTTTATTTTTCAGTCAAGATTTATACACTTTTAAAGTAGGGTTTAGTGTTTTTTTTTTTTTTATTGATCAAAATCTTTAGTTGATTAAAAAATGTCTTTTAACATTATGCAACATTTGCATGATTATTAGAAGCAATGGTTTTGCTGGTGTTACAAGGTTGTGTCTTCGCATGCTAAATGTGTTTATAAACTAAAAGGAAATCTGAAGTTTACAGAAATGTAATGGCACTCTTTTTTTTAGTTGTAATAAAACTGTCCTTGTTGATGTTGAAAGTGACTTTTAAGAATTCACCTTGAGGGGAACATCAGTGTTGCAAGGTAGACAATTGTTGCAATGCATCAAATAGTTGTTAAGAGATTTACTTCAAAACAATAAAAGCTAACTTGTGACAGTCAAGGCAAAGTGAATGGATCTTTAGGACTCAACCTCAGGTAACCATGATTGACGAAACAAATGTCATAATCCATTAACTAGTTGCTGAGTTTTTCAGTTTGGATTGAAGGGATGGACCAAGAGATTTATTCAAATTCCCATCTCCATACTGTAGCTAGTGAGGCTAGAATACAAACAAACACATGTTGATATTAACTAAACCTTAAAAAAGGTACCCCAAGGTAGAAATCATTGTCATAAGTATGAAAGTGTGTTTGTTTGGAATTACATTTGTGGTGAAACACAACAACCAGGCCTTCAACTGTTCCACAAGGTCTTCATCTGCAAATAAAGTTTGCTTAGTTTTCTCAGTTATTCAGATGTGAAAACACGCTGCCATATTCATGATGTTATCACAGTCTTGGATTTAACAGATATACAGGATGATGAAGTTTTCTGCTTTCCCCAAAAGTATCTGAAGTATGATACATTTTCCAAATAAAAATATTTTGGATTATAGTTTTAGTTCAATGTGTCCAGACATATGTAACTCACACATGAAGTAATGTTGTATAAACCCTCTTTATACAAACAAATGATGATGCTGCACCATAATGTGATTATAACAGGAGGTGGCAGCTTGTGACCCTAACAAACACACCCACCCTGGAACACAAACACACACTTACCAGCATGTGCCCACAAACAAACAAACGCACACTCATGGTGACACACTTACCCCATTGGCAGCTGCCATCTGCCCGATGACTTCAATAGCTGTTTGGTTGAAGAAGCGTCCATCACCCCCCCACCACCACAGTTGACCCCTGGCGGTCTCGCAGGTCGATGGAGGAGAAGATACTCTGGATGAAGTTGTGCAAGTAGTTCCTCCTGGACTGGAAGACGAACACCTTCTTCCTTAGACCATTGGTGCCAGGTCTCTGGTCTGGGTAGGGGGCTGTAGGGATGGTAAGGACCTGCAGGGGACTGTTGTCCATTGTTTCAAAATAAGAATCCAAACTAAACTACTACTACTAAGGTAGTCAGGGAAGGAGTTTTGTTTGGAGGGAAATCCCCCGTCAGTTGACATGGGGAAGGGTGTACAGGGGGAATTATGGGAAGGCAAAATCTTGACTCCGCCTATTATTTCACTGGAAGCACAGGGTTACAGGGGTACTTATGAGGCCCAAAATAACCTTTCAAACTCATGTGTGCAGAGACAGGGTTGGGAGGGGGGTAACTGAAGACAGCCCTTCACACATGTGCAGAGAGATCACTGTCAAGGCTGCAGGCCCAGTCACAAAGCACTGCGTGTATGTGTGTGTGTGTGTGTGTGTGTGCGTGTGTGTGTGTGTGCGCGCGCGTGTGTGTGTGTGTGTGTGTGTGTGTGTGTGTGTGTGCGTGTGTGTGTGTGTGTGTGTCTCTGCTGAAAGAAGTACTGATGTGTTGTGATCTGTCCAGGGGTGTCACAATGAGTTCCGGGCCCATATAAGGATATCACTGTGGGTCCCACAGCCAAATCCGAAGCATTAAGAAATGTGTTGACTAGTGACACGACTCAAATTTTGAGTAAAAAAGTGTTGTACCAAGACATGACTTTGTCAAAAGTTGTTGAACTGCGAATTGACTCAAATTTTGATGACAGACGAACAGTGAATCACAATGTGCTACATCATCAAACAAACGTAAAGCCAGTTATATTGTGTAATGTCACTGGCAGACGCTGGACCCCTTGCTGATCTGACCACCCGAGCACATCCGGTTCCTACGCTGGGAACATGCTTCATATTTTGTCTGAAAAAGTGTTGACTTGCAGCCTGCTTACTTTTTTTTTTTTTAGCATTTTTTTTAGCAAATGTCAGAGATGTTATGCCAGACAGAAGATTAAACCTACACAGGGACAGGCCCTGCCAAGATTAAAAACTCTGAACCAGCTTGCTGTGAAGCTAAAGTGCTAACCACCAGACTAATGTGCAACCTTGAAGCATTCTTCTGATTAAGTGTATTTTCCATTACCTCCAAGTTACAAAATACCCAAAGAATGTGGAGAAAAGAAAACTGTATTGAAATTTAAATTAAATAATAAAGAGGGGGGCCAGTTGCGGTCCATCTGTAAAGAGCCGCAGCAGTGGCTATAGACGGATGACATCTCTCATCGCAGACACACAAATGTTTGAGGCGATCTTATTTACCCTTTTCCTAAAGAGGATTTTGTGAGAGGAGCAATTTGAGACTCAGAAGTAGCAAATTCCAAATGCAGATGTGGTTTTAAGGAAGTGTTTGTTTACATACAGAAGATACTTTGTTGAATCTAATATACATGGAGCACATTGTCTACCTGTCAAGGTAGACAGAACAACACTGACCTCTAGAGTTCATTTAGTAAGTAAGAGGTTTAATAAAAGTAGATACTAAAAAAGCTTACATTTGTTTATTCTGGTGGGGGTTTTTTTAGGGAGAGAGAGTGAGGGAGAGTGTGTGCGTGCGTGTGTGTGTGTGTGTGTGTGTGTCTGTTTTCAAGTTGTGTTCTGTGACAGAGGTAATGACATTTTCTGCATCTGACAGATGGTTATTTCTCTTGGTTACTTTTGAATTTTTTGTCTTTGTGCAAATGTCATTTAGATAATCACTGAAAGCATTAAGAGAGGGAGATATCTGATATTTTGTATCTTCATTTACTGCTGCTTCTCTTCTGTCAGTCATTCCCCTTTGTTCAGTCTGGACATCTTGTTTGATCTCGATGTCTGTGAAGACATGAACTCTTCAACCATATAGCACATGATATATATAATATATGCAATAGCAGGACAAGCACTGCTCTCTGTCACAAAGTGACAGTGTCATAATGATTTGACCAATAAAGTAACAAGTGCAAAAAGAAAGGGGGAAGGGCCCAATCGCGAGTGGGTGTGTGCTCGAGCAGCTGCATCATGCTGGCATAGATCAGTATCTCTGGACCTGATATTTTCATTTAACCAAATATATCTGTTCATCGGGCCAGTCTGTGCACAAACAGGAAATTACTTTCTCTATAGAGGACAGAAATGCAGATGCTATACCCATGTTTTTGTCCATGTGTGCACATTTCTATTTATAAGTAAATGTTTAGATAGGTGGTTGCATGATATTTATTGCAATATACCCCCATCTGGTCTGAAGGAAAGTGTGGGGCGGTTGTGGCTCTGTAGTAGATTTGGTCATTTCATAACCGGGAGGTAGATCCCCAGCTCCTGCGGTCACATGTAGAAGTTTACTTGGCAAGACACTGAACCCCAGATTGCTGCTGCACCTGCTGCATGTGAAGATAGACACTTTACATAGCAGCCTCTGTCATCAGTGTGTGAATGTGGGATGTGAATGGGTGACTGTGACATGCAGTGTTAAGTGCTTTGAGTAGCAGCGAGACTAGAGAAATGCTTTAAGCTCAGTTCCTCAGACCATGTACCAGTTAGATAATGAACTTTGTAGACAAAACAGAAAACTATTTGGGCACTTGACAAAATAAAAAAACACATTTGATTTGTCATAGTTTTTTTGATGATCAGTAAAATATGATCATTTTCTTACAAAGTAATTTGAACTACTTTTTATGGAGCCTTTGGTTTACCAAACTAAATCTCTCCGTCGGGTGCTGTAGGTGAATTCTTGCAGTTTGAAGAAGTTGGTAACTTGCAAAGTTAATCTTTCAAAGAATCTTTCACAACATACAATTAGTGTTAGTAAGTTATTAACATCTTCAAAAGAAAGTCAATGTTTGAAGTTCAAAGCTGACAGGGCTCCAGAATAAATCTCTGTTGATATAATAAGATCATTCAGCACTTGACCAAAGGTCAATGGTGCAAACAATCTACAGCCAATAGTTAAAAACAGGACTTGAGAGAAACTACTCCAAGATATAATTGAAAGGTTTTTATAACCCAAATGGTAGGACAAAAAAAGTTTTTCATGGCTCTATATTTTATTTATTTTCCATTTTAGGTTTTTTGTTGTTGTTGCTTTTCATGCCCCTATTTAGAGATAAGACCAGGGCCGAGCCAGAAATCAGAGAGAGAGAGAGACAGAGAAAGAGAGAGAGAGAGAGAGGAGAGAGAGAGAGAGAGAGAGAGAGACAGAGAGAGAGAGAGAGAGAGAGAGAGAGAGAGAGAGACAGAGAGAGAGAGAGAGAGAGAGAGAGAGAGAGACTTGGACCCGGGACCACAGCCTCTGCACATGGGGTGCACGTACCAACCACCAGGCCACTGGCGCCCCTATGGATCTATAGTTCAATGTAAGACATCAATCAAATTTGATTTGAAAAAAAATAATCCCGTAACTTCACGAAATCTGACTTTTATTGTTAACCATGTGTGCCAGGGGAAAAGGGTGTTCCACAGAGCAACATATATATATATTTATTTTAGTCAGTTTTGGTTGTATTAGAAATAAATAAAAGGTGTTTGTTGTATTCCTGTTACAAACATAAAAACAAATGATCAAATACTGTCAGTTGATGGTAATACTTTTATTTGTTTAAATTGATAAAACAAATTATTTGTATCAAAAATAAATTATGTAAAGTGAAGATAACTGTCATACATAGTAGTGGTCCCAAATATTTTTGCCACCTGACCCCTCCAAAAGAAGTCACTGCAACTCATGAGGCCACTTCCTGTTACAGATGTTAATGACAGACCCTTTAAATTGATCTCATGACCTCTTGAATAGGCCCCGTCCCCTACGTTAGCAACCACTGCTTTATACCCAGAGTCAATATGACCCAAATTGTTGACTGCTCCTACTTATCTGTGAGTTTAAATCCTTTCCTTCTTAGATACAGTAAGTGAAGTTACCAATATATTATATGAAGTTTTCTTTAACATTAGAGGCTGTTCTGGGATCGCTAGAAATGGATTATTAATCTTAATCTGCTTCACACAACAGCGCTAATGTACATCTTAATTCATTGTCGTCTGTGGATGGAATTTGCCCTCAGAGAAAACATTTTTATTTTCTTCTCTTCCTGAGCCGTCTTAACCGTGGCTGTTTCCAGCATGCATTACACAGGCTGTCCTGCAGAGGGCACTGTTTGTTTTTGTAATTTAGGGAGTTATACCTCAGGGTCACTGAAAGATGCCTGTTTCAAGGGAGGAAGAGGAAATGGATGAGGCGCCAGAGTGGACAGATATCTGGGTGAACTTTAGTGAGGAAGAATATTTTTGGCCAGGCCTCCATTGGATCCCTCTCCTCCGCTCTGATCGTCCCCGAGGTCTCATGTGGAAATATCTTCCATTGAGGTTGGCTTCTCCACAGGCGTTAAGCCACCATCCACCTGGAAAAGACAGGAAATACTTGTTGAGCAGCCAACAGTAGCAGGATGGGGGTGCAAGCAGGCTCTTATTCCCTCTCCCCACTAAAGGCTGATACCCCCCTATACCATTAATTTTGTGATGACATTGTTTATGGAATAAAACCTGTGATCTGTGCCAGAGATAGATTGCTTTTAAGTACACATTCGTTTGAGCACGATTGCTGCCAATTTTTTTTACATTTGTTTGTAGTATCCGCTGTGCATGTACTTTAACAGTAACACCACATTGTCACAACATGCAGTATGCACATAAACACTAGGGGCAGTGTAGAGGTACAGAAGGGATGTGAGAGGATCAACACGGCATCAGGAAGAGGATTGCTAGACCAAGTTCACAGTTTTCCACAGTTGTACGATGTTTCATTGCCACTGCACAGAGACAAACATACCTGTCCATGAAGCCATTCACAGATACGTTTCTTATAACAAGGCTACGTGGAAGTCTGCAAAACTGAATGTAAACAAGCCCTTTATGGCCGTGCACATAGGAAAGGTGTTCGAGGAATGGAAAGAGGACACTGCTGATGGTGTGTTCCGTCCACCTTACATACCAACTACAACTGAGGCAATGTCACTTTTTTCTGCTCTGATGTCTTCTCTGTATCGCATTCTGTAATAGTATCCTCCTTGAGTATTGCCATGTCTGTTGTTCACCTCCC